GTCATTGGATCTTTTGGGTAGATGCCCAGCAATGGGATTGCTGATCAAATGGTAGATTCACTTGTACGCTTTAAGGTATCTCCATATTGCTTTCCACAGAGGTTGAACTAATTGCAGTCCACCAGCAGTGTAGGAGTATAGAATTTTTTAATTTCCATCTTGATTTCTTCATTTATGAAGTAATCATTTAGTAGGAGGTTGTTTAATTTCCACGTTTTTGTGTAGAAATGTGAGTTTCTGTTAAGGTTGATTTCTACTTTTATTCCACTGTGATCTGAGAAGGTACATAGTATGATTTCTATTTTTTTAAATTTCTTGAGATTTACTTTGTGTCCTAGGATATGGTCAGTCTTAGAGAGTGTCCCGTGAGCTGATGAGAAGAACGTATATTCAGTGGATTTTGGGTAGAATGTCCTGTAGATGTCAGTCAGACCCAGTTGTTCCAAGATTTTGTTTAAGTCCATTATTTCTTTATTAATTTTCTGTTTGGAGGATCTGTCTTGTGCCGTCAGTGGGTACTGAAATCTTCGGTGATTATGGAGTTGCTATTAATCCATTTGCTTAGATCCAGTAAGGTTTGCTTTATGAATCTGGGTGCACCTAAGTTGGGTGCATATATATTTAAAATTGTTATCTCTTCTTGTTGAAGTGTGCCCTTGACCATTATATAATGACCCTCTTTGTCTTTCACTACTTTTGTTGGTTAAAAACTAAATCGTCTGAAATTAGAACTGCCACGCCAGCCTTCTTTTGGCTTCCACTTGCCTGGAATACTGATCTCTACCCTTTTACTTTTAGTCTATATGCATCCTTGCAGGTTAGATGTGTTTCCTGAAGACAGCATATACTTGGCCTGTATTTTCTTATCCATTCAGCCAGCCTATGTCTCTTGAGTGGAGAGTTTAAGCCATTCACATTTATTGAGAGAACTGATAGTAAGGTAGATTACTGTTCATTCTGTTGGGTTGGATGTTGTTGCTTTGATTTCTCTCTTGAGCCATTGTATTATCTGGCCTTTAATCTTTGGGTTTTGTTGTTTTTATATTCGTGGGTATATTAGGTTGTTCTGTGCGTAACACTGTTTTGAGTACTTCTTGTAGGGCTGGTCTTGTCTAGGCGAATTCTCTGAGACTTTGCTTGTCTGAGAATGTCTTTATTTCTCCTTCATATATGAAGCTTAGTTTTGCAGGGAATAAGATTCTAGGGTGGGCATGTTTTGTTTCAGAAGAGTGAGAATGGGGCCCCAGTCTCTCCTTGCTTGTAAAGTCTCATTAGAGAAGTCTGGTGTTATTCGAATTGGCTTTCCCTTGTAGGTTACTTGCTTCTTTCTTCTTACAGCTCTTAGAAGGGCCTCTTTAGTTGATATTTTGGTCAGTCTGATGACTGCATGTTGTGACGTCTTCCTGTTTGCATTGACTCTCCCAGGGGTCCTCTGGGCTTCTTGAACTTGTATATCGACATTTTGAGCAAGGCCTGGAAATTTTTCTCTATTATATCTTCAATAGCTTGTCCACCCTTGGGTGTTGTCTCTTCCCCTTCTGGTAACCCTATGACCCTCACATTAGGTTTCTTCACATAATCCCACATATCTTGTAGGCTTTGCTCTTTTCTCTTGTTCTTTGCCTATCTCTGTGATGGTTTTATTTAGTTGGAGGGTGTTATCTTCAATCTCTGAGATTCTTTCTTCTGTTTGATCTACCCTGTTCTTGAGACTTTCCACTGTATTTTGTAGTTCCCTGAATTGATTCTTCATTTCCAGGAGTTCGTTAAACTTTCTTCATTGTGTCTATTTCCTTAGTGAACTTTTGTTCTAGGTCCTGGAGGCTTTTTGTGGTTTCTTTGTGTTGGTTAAGTAGTGGTTGTTGTTGCAGGTCGGTGAGTGTTCTTATGATCCACATACGAAATTCCTATTCTGTCATTTTGGTTGCCTGATTTGGGTTGGTGTCCATTTCTAGGGCTGGTGCCCTCTTTGGGTGTGTTTTCCGTTTGGTTCTTCATATTTCCTGAGTTCCTTCGCTGATTCTTCCCATGTCGATCAGTTGTTGTTCTTTCCTTTAGGTTTTTGTTTGGTATTCACACGCCTTGTTTAGTTTCTGAGCCGTTAGGTGGTGTCTGTGGGTGAGATTTGACCGCTCTCTGTATAATGAGTCAGTGGGTGCCATGAAAAGGCTGTGCAGGATGCCGTCCCTGTCAGTAGGTGGCGCTTGCTTGGAGGAACAGGGTATGCTGTTGTTTTTGTGTCCTGTTATCAGCTCTTGTTCTGGGCGGAGCTGGGTTGGGTAAGCCTGCCCTCAGGCACCACCAATGCCTGTTAGCAGGGGTCAAAGTTCTGTTCTCTGCTTCCAGGAAAAGCTGTCAGGGCGGGGCTGGAATGGTCCCGCTCAGCCAGAAAGTCTGCTTGTGGGGGTGGGCTGTCTGAGACCGCAGTCTGAGCAGGCCTCGCTTCTTTCCACCTCCCCAACTCCGCAGCTACTCCTGGGCTCTGGCAGCAGGCCAGACCACACGCCACCAGGCCTCCCCGGATTGTGATGCCTGCGGGGAGGTTCCCTGCGCAGAAACGCTGCCTGAGCTGGGCGCACAGCCTCCCTTTGGTGGGAGGGTTGCCCTCTAGGACGCTGATCTGCCCCTGGAGGCACACACACCTCAGCGGGCTGTTCACACATATCCCTTCTGTGCCCCGGGGAATGCTAGACCTCGGTACACGGGATCTGGTCTGCAGGTCTGACCTCTGGGTCCCAGAGTTCAAACTGTATCCCCACCAGGGAGAGGAGTTCCGGTCCCAATTCACCCACAGGGAGCCCAAGCTGGGTCTATGTCTCTCAGCCTCTTAGTCCGCACCGTTCTCCTGGGAACACCGTGCCAGCAGCACCTGGGAGGGCTGGCGGGTAGGGAGCTCACAGTCTGAGTTCCCCTTAGTCAGCTGTAGGGTCCCAAAAGGGAAGGTCCCGTTCCCTGGAGGTGCCTCCGGTTGGTGGCTGTATTGTCTCTCTGGGCAGCCACAGGTAGGGTCTGGAGGGGAGAGGAGGCAATATGGCGCCTGCCTCGCGGCTCGGGTCTGTGCACACGGAGGTGCCCCGAGGGATTTGGGAGTCTGGTGCCGTGTCTGCTACAGGCTCACCGCTAGCTGGCGGCGGCGGTCTCTGGGCTGGTGTCCGCAGGTCTCTCCACCTGCTGGGAAGCCACCAGCAGTCCCAAATGCAGGGGGAGGAAAGTGATTTATCCACCTACCCTTCCCGCTGGTCTCCGGGCTGCTCTGGCAGTCTCAGCTTCCAGTTTTCCTCCACAGCCTCCTCCCGTGGAGTCTCCCGGGGTCTCAGGTACCCCTCCTTCCGGCCCTTGTCTGCTGTATGCTCACCTTCTTCTTTTTTCTAATTTCTGCTAGAATCTGTCTTTTCTGCAGAGACACTCTGTCTGGCGGTGTTTCTCATCCTCCATCTTGATCCTCCTCCCCCAAAAATGGTGTTTTATAGACATGCTGGGATACAAAAACCACAATATAAAAAAAATGCAGGCAACACAGTACACTAGTGGTTGTTTATGATCGTGATCACGTGGCTTCCTGGGAGCAGTGGCTTGCTGCTGCTGCCCAGCATCGAGAGAGATATCGCATAATGCTAGCCCAAGAAAAAATTCAAAATACAGTTTCTTCTGAATAGTGTCACTTTGTCATTTTCCCACATTATAAAATCAAAATCATTAAGTTGAACTTAACAGATGTTTGGGACCATCTGTGCTAGAGTTGTATTATGAGTAACACAACTTAAAATATTTTGAACCACTGATTCCAGAAAGTGTATTTCAAGAACCAATAACCTAATTTCCTCTGTGACTGAGGATACAGAAAGCCAGAGCTGATATTAGGTTGAATAAATTACCATACTTTTGGAATTCCTGAAGAGTAGCTTTGCACTGAATTGTTGGTGTTTGTGGTTTTGTTAATTTAATAGAATCATCTCTAGTTTTTTCTAATGTTTATACTGCAAATCAGTTTTTCAATGAAAAATGCAGACTTTTCTTTATTTGAACCACATCAGTGGGTACTTTCCAAATAAACTTTGCTTTGTGGAACATAGAGGTGGAACTTATATATAAAGCCATAAGGGACATTTCTAATTTAAAATACCAGATATGACCGGACGCGGTGGCTCAGGCCTGTAATCCTAGCACTCTGGAAGGCCCAGGTGGGCGGATTGCTCGAGGTCAGGAGTTCGAAACCAGCCTAAGCAAGAATGAGACCCCGTCTCTAATATAAATAGAAAGAAATTAACTGGCCAACTGATATATATATAGAAAAAATTAGCCGGGCATGGTTGGTACATGCCAGTAGTCCCAGCTACTTGGGAGGCTGAGGCAGCAGGATTGCTTGAGCCCGGGAGTTTGAGGTTGCTGTGAGCTAGGCTGACGCCACAGCACTCACTCTAGCCTGGGCAATAAAGTGAGACTCTGTCTCTAAAGTAAAATAAAATACCAGATATATATTTTTTTCAGGTGTGAGAATAGTATATATGTATATAAATTACATGGTTCAAAAAGTCATTTTTTAGGTACCAAAATGCTTATAGATGAAGTCTTGGAATATCTGTGGTTGTCATAGAAGAGAGCTTTTAGGACTTTTTCCCATCTAGCTTAAATAGCGACTTTAACTTTGGTCTTCAGAAATTGATGAAGATACTGTTTATTCATTCTGCAAGCATGTTGAATCCTGCTAGACATTTTCTAGATCTGCATCTTCTGGGTTGCCCTGAGACAGTGTTTTTGATACCTATTGTCTTGGCTTCTAAAAGGATTTTGATTCACTCTAATAATGTTCCAGTTGTCTTTGATAAATTATTGGTCACCATTGTATGTAAAACAGTTCTTTCCTGTGGCTCAGTTTGTACTTCCATATTCTATTTCCTGCTATTTCATCTGGCCTAGTGTAGTAGGCTTGGCCATGCATGGCATATCACAATATTATAGGTCCATTTTCTTTTTTCTTTTTTTTTTTTTTCTTTATATAGGTCCATTTTCTTACAGTTACTTGTGTTCATGTGTATGTGTGCTTGTGCATGACGTGGCCCGATTACAGGACGAGGGAAGAACACAGAACACAAAATAACAACACAGACGCACAAGGATGTGACAAATGACTCGAGTGACCAATGCACCAGTCGCTTTATTTTTATATCCCCTAGACCCAAGGTTAGTTCCTTGTACGTGAGCATCCGAGCATAGCAGCCATACCAGTCAATTCCGGAGTTGTATCACAAGGGAACAATGGTCCCATGTTCTCAGACCTCGAATGGTTACTAAAGTTAAGGCGCTGGACAGAGCTCAAAAGCCAAGGCCCCCAGATAGGCAACATAAAACAGTGCAGCCATTTGAAGTGCTTCTTGGTCTCAATCCCAGGCAGCGGCTCCTCCCTGGCTCCCATGGTTGTGTCTGTCTTAGGTTATCCCTCCCATGGAGAATCTTACCTGTCATTGACTACCAACCATCAATCGGGGGCCAGTTCTTGGGAGAGTTCTTCTTGTTCTCGTTCTCGTGGCCTCCAGACTCCCACCACGGGGCCGTCCGTGTGGGAGTTGGGAGCATTTGCTGTTTATGTGCAACAACTGTGGCCTCTTATCAAGTCACAAGGCAGCAAACCTGTCTAAAGAAAATGCTAACCACTGCTGCGTCAGACAGCACGCATACATTACAGACTATTGTGAATGATTAGTATAAGGCATAACACCAGAATCAGCCCCCAACAGTGCATGTATGTATGTTTAACATAGGTATTAGTATTGATTATTCTGACACGTATGATTTTAAGTTAGTTTTTGCTGTGTAATGAGCTTGAATAAAATTTTCACTAATATTTTGCTAATTTTAGTAAAACCTTTAAGAATTAAATTTTGGAGGGCAGGGGAGTCTCAGTTGCCAGGTCATGAGGGCAGTGGTGTCATCACAGCTCACTGCAACCTCAAATTCCTGGCCTTAAGTAATCCTACCACCTCAGCCTCTCAAAGTGTTGTGATTACAGGTGTGAACCAAGGCGCCTGTCTAGAAATTTTTTTATTTTTTTTGAGACAGAGACTCACTCTGTTGCCTGGGCTAGAGTGCTGTGGCATCGGCCTAGCTCACAGCAACCTCAAACTCCTGGGCTCAAATGATCCTGCTGACTCAACCTCCCTAGTAGCTGGGACTACAGGCATTTGCCACCATGCCTGGCTCATTTTTTCTATATATTTTTAGTTGGCCAATTAATTTCTTTGTATTTTTAGTAGAGATGGGGTCTCGCTCTTGCCCAGGATTACAGGCGTGAGCCACCAAGACCAGCCCTGATCCAAAAATTAATTATGCACTTCCCAACTTGGCTATTCACCACTTCCCATACTCTGGATTTTTGGTGACTGGATCTCTGCCCATTTTCCTCAGAGGTAATAGCAGTAATGATACCATATAAGATTTAAATCCAAAAACTCAAAACTAAAGATTTTGTTATTTCCAGGAAAGATTTTTTATTTTGATTTTAAAAATTTGAAAGATAGTAAAACTTAGCTTTTGATTTGGCTCTCTTCCCATCAACTGTACAAGAAACAATTCTACTCTACAAGAAACAAGAACACCACAATACTTAAGAGTTTTCAGTGATATTTTCATGATGACATACAGGAATCCTTCACATATTCTCTGTAGAATAGGAGTATGTGAACTATCTAGGATCAAAGCTTAGGGTTTGCTAATTTACTTGTAGCCAATCACAGGAAGGATGTTCCTAGGGGAATTCTCCACAGCAGTGTATAGGAATCCACTGGTTTCATGGCACCTGTTCCTTTTACAGGGCTCCTTGCTGACCCTCCACCACCTGACAAGAGTACCTGGACTGTTGGATCCAGTGCACTGTGTCTGCCCAAGAAGAGAGACATTAGATCTACAAGTCAACTAATGGACAATTAGTAACTCACCTACTAGTTAAGGTACTTTTGCTTGCTTTTTTTTTTTTTTTTTTTTTCCTCACTGGAAAGGAATGTGGATGTGTATAATGTTTAAAAACTTCTTCTTGATTTTCTATCTGTCCTATTCGTTATTTAGAGTAGGGAATTGAAGTCTTTCACTCTTGGTGAATTGTCTATTTCTTTCCTTGTTTTGCTTCTTGTACTTTCATGCTTTTTTAGTTACTGATAACCTACAGATCACATTTGACAATTTACTTTACTTTATTTTATTTTTTATTTATTTATTTTTTTTGAGACAGAGTCTCACTCTGTTCCCAGGCTAGAGTGAGTGCCATGGCGTCAGCCTAGTTCACAGCAACCTCAAATTCCTGGGCTCAAGTAATCCTACTGCCTCAGCCTCTGAAGTAGCTGGGACTACAGGCATACATCACCAAGCCAGGCTAATGTTTTTTCTATATATATTAATTGGCCAATTAATTTCTATTTATAGTAGAGATGTGGTTTCACTCTTGCTCAGGCTGGTTTCAAACTCCTGACCTTCAGCGATCCTCCCTCCTCGGCCTCCCAGAGTGCTAGGATTACAGGCGTGAGCCGTGCCCAGCAGACAATTTACTTTAGAATTAAGCACACCTGCCTTGGGGAGTGGGGAGGTCTTATGATCTGTGGTAACATCCTATCCCTGAGTGAAGAATCGTATGAATTCCTCAAATTGTTGATGTTGATTAATGTGTAATCTACTGACACTGAAAAGGATGCTGGTTCGTTTCTAATTGATGAAGTTTTACTGATTGTCTTGCACACAGACATTTTAGCCTATATGTTGCAATCTGTAGCCAATGATTGTAACCTCTGTTATTGTACCATCCAATGAAAAAGGACAACTCCTGCCTGTATGAGGAGTCCTCCTCTCTTCCCCAAAACTTTGCTATAAAAGCCTTCCAACTTGTATCAGGCTACAGAATACTTTATGGGTGTGTCTTCCCGGATTGATATTCACATTTGGCTTCCAAAAAACTTATCAAATTATGTCTACCTCAACAACCTTGATTTCAGTTGGCAGTGCATATGTTTATAATTTTCTTTGTGGAATGACCCTTTATTAACATATTTGGTGTTAGTTTTTATTTTGTCTGAGATTAGTATAGCCAGTCCAGCTTTCTTGTAGCTGCTATTTGTGTGATGTTTTTTTCATCATTTTACTTTAGTCATATTTGTATTTTTGGACCTAAGGTGTGTCTCCTGGAGACAGTAGCATATAGTCAGATAGTTTTTAAATTCCAGACAGACATTCTGTGTCTTCTGGATTATTGTGATATTGTGAAATAAATGTCTAGTCTTCCTCACCTTTTCCTAGCATACAGCTCCTAAAATCTGTGGAATCTCCAAAGTGATAAATGTCTTGTATGCTAATGAGTTGACTGGTGGCTGTTAGTCCCTGGGTAGCTTCAGGATGGGGGCTGCCACCTAAACAGCCAAGGCCAGCTTAGAGAGTTGGGACTGTCAGCCCCACACCCCTTTCCTGGTACCAATTTTCATTCTTAGTCCATTTTCTTTTGTTTTATAACAATACTTGACACTGGGAATTTATAAAGAAAAGGAATTTATTTCTTATGCTTCTGGAGCCTGAGAACTCTGAGGTTGAGTGGGTTACAGATAGTGGGGGGGAGAGTAGCTGAAAATTAAGTTGATACCAATGGCCAGTGGTTTAATCAGTCATGCCTATGTATGGAGGTTCCTGGAGGGTAGCACGCCCAGAGAGGGCATGGAAGCTCTGTGTCCCTTCCCACAGCCTCTGTAACACCCTTTATAATCAACCAGTAAATGTAAGTAAAGTGTTCCCCCGAGTTCTGTGGGCCGCTTTAGCAATTAGTCAAACCCAAGGAGGGGTCAAGGGAACCCCAGTTTATAGCTGATCAGTCAGAAGCACAGGTAAAACAGTCTGGGGCGTAGGATTGACATCAGAATTGGGGCAGTCTTGTGGGACTGAGCTCTCAACCTGTGGGATCTGACACGGTCTGCCTGGAGATGGTGTCAGAATTGAATCAAATTAGAGGACACCCAGCTGGTATGTGCTGCCTAACAGATTGCTTGCTTATTATGTGGAGCGAAACTCCCCCTACATCTGGTGTCAGAAGTGTGTTGTGAGAATATAGTGGGAGAAACTGAGTTTGTTATTCCTGTATTCTCAGAATTGTTTATTCAGTTCAAATTTAATGTTACTTTTGATGTAGTTGGATTTATGTCTGCTGTTTTACTTTTTGTTTTTTCTCTCATGTTTTTTTTAGTCCTTTCTTCTTCCTTAGTGGCTTTTTGCATTAAGTGAATATTTTCTAATGAAGCATTTAAATTTATTTAATGATGTTTTCACTGTATATTTTTGTAATTTTATGGAAGCACAAATTCTTTTAAAAATCATTTTTATTTAAGGTGTTAAGTATTTAAAATCTGATTTATTGCACTTGTGGATTTAACTAAGGTTTTGTGATTGTAATTTATGTTTTTAGCAGAACTTTAAAGTTTACACATTAGATAAAGTTTACATATTTGTGTAAGATCTAACTGTTAAGAAGCATATAATTTGTTGGTTTAAGATTAATACATTAATCATTAGAAGTACTAAGTATCTCAGAAGTACAATTAATGGTGAGTATTTTCCATGTAAAAAGCCTTTCAGCACACATATCAGTGCCATTTAGCCAAAATACTACCGTCCTTCTGCTGGCTTAGAACTAGATTTCTATAGATCAAAATGGATAGATCTCAAAGTTAAATGGAAAAAGAAAGCTGTAGAATTTATTCATCAAAGATCGGCAGACAGGTACTGGGAGTACACTGCTGAAACCAAACAAAGTCCTAGCCATTTGGGAGCTGACAGTCTGGTAGAGATATAATATGCTACTGTAAATGAGAAATACAAATCATATAGTATTCGGTTCTGAGTGTATATGAAGGTGAAAGTACTTTAAACTATATTGAATATAGAATCTAATACACTGAATTTATTAAGGATAGACATTGGTAACGATACACATTGAATTATATTGTCTGGGGAGAAAAAAATGAGGGTAGATATTAGAGGAAATTTACATAATATTTTGTTACTTTGAGGCAATAAAAAAATGGCTTAATGTAAACATGGCAGTGTAGTATTGTCCATTCTTGGTGGTGAGTACTTAATTAGCCTGTCATTTATGTACCTTATGACCTGGATAAGGAGCAATGCAAGCGCAAATGTATAATATTAAATAGGTTCCTCTTTAAGAGATTTCTGAAGTGTCATAGCAGAGTCACTGGTGTGGGTGGAGAGGTTATAAATGTGGGGCTCAGGGTGGTCATTGCGTGTGTCAAGTACTGGCATCCTGGAGTCTGTGCACGAGTGTGCCTGTGTACGTGTTGAATAATCTAGTAGAGACAGGTTGATCCCAGAAATGAAGGAAAGTGGAGTGGCATTTTAAACGTAGATATTTGGTAGGAGGAGGGTCAGCTCTATCACTGTGAATGAAGATTACATTTACAAGGATGCATATTTTATAGATTTTGTGATGGAAAGATGACAGGTGATGCTATTTTTTTCCTCTCAAAAATAAGCAGCCAAGTAGATGAGGGAGTATGTGTGTGGGTTGGAGTGGCTGGGGACCTGTGAGGAGACAAAAGATCTTACAGAAAAGGGAAAATAAAATTACTTACAATATAAGTAAAATTTCAAGAAAGTGAAATTGAATTGTTGGGTAGTGTTGACCCTTGAATAACATGGGTTTGAATTGCATAGGTGCACCTTTTTTTTCCTTTGAGACAGTCTCAACTCTGTTACCCCAGCTAGAGTGCCATGGTGTCAGCCTAGCTCACAGCAACCTCAAACTCCTGGGTTCAAGCAATCCTTTTGCCTCAGCCTCCAAGTAGCTGGGACTACAGGCATGCGGTATCATGCTCCCCTAATTTTTTCTATATATTTTTAGTTGGCCCATTAATTTCTTTCTATTTTTAGTAGAGACAAGTCTCGCTCTTGCTCAGGCTGGTCTCGAACTCCTGAGCTCAAACAATCAACCCGCCTCGGCCTCCCAGAGTGTTAGGATTACAGGCGTGAGCCACCACACCCGGCCTATCTTATGGTTTTCATTTGTATTTCTGATATTAATAAAATTTAGTACTTTGCAAAACTTTTGCCATTTAAATACAGTTAACTGAGCTCAGGTTTTTGTTAATGTTAATCAGAGATCTTGTACACATCCTTCATTTTCTAAGTATGTGATTTTTGTGATATTAAGCTTTTTGCCAGGAACCAGGGACAAATGCTGAATGTGTTTCTTAGTATATTACAGGTGGTATATCCATAAAGTAGGATGCTATTCAGCCAGTGAGGTAGATGGTAGATATATATGTAGTGAAATCAGATATACTAGGTATAATAAATGGAAGATAGGCAAATTGTAGACAGTAGGTTTGGTAGGATTCCAGTTTCATTTTAAAAGATGTTTTATTTATGAATTAGAGTTAGTTTGTGCCTAGACATTTTCTTAGGCCATAAGGTAACATTGTATACCCCTGGGGACTTTAGACATTGGGGATGGACAGTAAGAACTTTTTTACTGTATGTTTGGGCTTTTTTTTTGTTTATAGTGAGCATGGATTCTTAGAATAAAGAGCTCGTTAAAATAAGAGCAGACTGATTGGCATTTAACATTAACTGCATGTGAGTTGTATTTAACTCAATTTAGTTTTGAGCTGAGGGCCTTATGAAGCATATGTATTCTGTTTTCATAATAAAACACCATGGCCCCAAGGAAAATTTTTTTTTCTAGTGGGACAGTCCATGCATTAAATGTAACAAATAAAATGCTAGCTGTATTGTGTAGAATGAATTTCTGTTAAATAGTCCAGAAATTTCATTGACATTTGCCTTATATTATTACATCTCCCATTACTATACCTCTTCCTAAATTAAAGATGGGACTTGACTAGTCTGAAGATTCAGTAATTATGATTGATACAGTTAGCTACTAATTTTCTTAGAAATTTTATCTAGGCAAAGCAGTGTTTTAATAAAAGATCTTTTTCTTTCTTACAGATTTCTGACATTCAGAACAACTGTCTTTTAATACACTGCTACTGTATCAAGTCAACAATGAATTGGAATGCAGAACCAGAGAGTGCTATATTACCATCACAGTATCCTAAAAGCCAGTCATCTTTTTTGCAGCAGTCTTTAATAAACCAATTTACCACAACATCTCACAACTCTTTCGGCTCTCCTGGAAATAATCAAGAAGCATGCATGTATCCCAATAATTCAAATCCAATGCCACAGCCACTGCTGAATATCCAAAATTGTCCTCAACCAATCCCTGTTTCTAATATAAATAATGGGACAGCTGTGGACTCACAAACTTCATTAGAAAGAATAACATTTGGAAATGTTAAAGGACCCAAACAACTAAGTCACAATTTACAAATATCTTCAGGAGTTACACAAAATGTATGGTTGAACTCAACAATGAGAAATCCTGTGCTTTCTCATACAGGGGCAGCTGTATCTCATCAAGCTGATTTTGCAACTAATGTACCCAATATGCATGCACCACAGAGTCAACTTGTAACTTATAATTCTATGCGACTGCAAATGATCCCTTCCAATTCTCTAAGAGTTCCTATAACTTACCGAGGAAATCAGGGACTTAACCAATCTTTTTCAGAGCGAAAGGTTGACTGGACACAACAGTATGCATCTAATGGACTGAGTTATCCAGATTATAGACCACTTCCAAAGCAATACTGTTATGCACCACAAAAACTTTTGCAAGATACTAATATTCAGAAGCGAAACCCTATGCCATCTACATCATTACATGTTAAAAATAGTCAGCTTCCAAATTCTGCCCTGACTTTACAGTCAAAGGAGACTTCAGCTGTACCCTCTCAGCAATATGCCACTCAACTTGATAAAAGACTCCCTCGTCCTCCTCCTCCTCCTTATGACTGTAGATACAGAAGCCAGCCTTTGCAAAGTGCTCCGTATGTTCTTAAACATGTGTCTGTGGAAGTTCCTCAGAGTCAAAAAATGCACTCATCTGAAATAAGGACAGAGTCTAACAGAGACTTTCAACAACAGTGGCAAAACTCTAATGAAAATGTCAGCACAATTGGAAATTTCTGTAATGTGAAACTAAATGCCAATGTCAAACAGCCTTTTAATGAACCAGTTAAATCTTCTGTGGATGCTGTTCAGACTCTTAATCAAAATAATCAAGAGAAAAGAATGGATTCTTGTAATCCAACTTCGAATCAAGTTTTGGATACAAGTGTCACAAAAGAAAAGCTAGTGAGAGATATTAAAACATTAGTAGAAATGAAAAGGAAGTTTTCAGAACTTGCGAGGAAAATTAAAATCAATAAAAATATTTTGATGGCAGCAGGTTGTATTAAAATGAGTGATACCTCTTATAATCAACCAGCCCAAAATTCTGAATTGTCCCTGAAAGAACAAACTGCTAAAATTCAGTCTGGACTACAGATAACCCCAGTAATTCCAGAGATTGCAGGGGGACAGTCGTCAACAATAACAGAATCTACAGAAACAAGTAAAACACACTGTGCATTAAATTCCAACATTCAAGAAATCAATTGCAGAAAGTTTAACCAAGCCAGTTCTGTTGTGCTAAATTCTGTCTGTTCGGAAAAGTTGCCAATGTCAGCCCAGTGTCATGATTGGAAAGTTCCGACGTCTTCAAAGACGTCAACTGTCGAGAGGACCCAGGCAACATTGAATAACACTGAACTTTCTTCAGAAAATTCTGTCCAAGTTGAACTAAATATGCCAGCAATTTGTGAGACAATATCTGTTCCACAATCTGCATCATTTGAGGAATATGCTTCAAAACTTTTAAATAAAAATAGGCTACTTCTTAATTTGCTTACACAAGGAGATAATATTGAGAAGAAATTATTAAAAGATGATAGTAGAGCTATTCAGGATTCTAAAGTAGACAATTGTGAAATGAATCTGAATGCTCAAATCACTGGTAACCAACTGACCTTGAAAACTACAGAAACGTCAAGTACTTCTAATGTAATTGCCAGGATTTCAGACAGCTGGGATTGCATGGAGGATGAATCCTCAACAAAAGGAATGTCTGATAAAAGTAACAGTGATTATTGCATGGAATTGCTGGCAACATGTCTTTCTCTATGGAAAAAGAAACCTTCAGAAACTACACAGGAAAAACAGTGTAATGAGTCAAAAACAAACAGAACAGCAGTTGGAATTTCAAAGCCTGCAGACATCTCTGTTAAGAGTCTTTGTTCAGTTGTGGGAAATTCTCAGAATAAAATAGTTAATCCCCCACAAGAAACAGCTTTGTCAATGGTAGTGCAGAATTACGAGTCTTCAGGGACAACTATAACAAAGGGAACAGAACTTCAGATCGCTGTAGTATCACCCTTAGTTCTTTCAGATGTCAAAACATTGTCTGTCAAAGGAATAGCACCTGAAGCTTTACCTGAAACAGTATATCCAGTTATTAAAGAAGGCAGTGTTTGTACTTTACAAAATCAATTGGCAGAATATACGACAGTAAGTCCTACTTTGAGAGTTGATGTTAATGGACCAGTAGCAAGTACAACATCAACCAAGATTTTCCCACTAACTCATAAGGAGAAGGATAATGAGTCAACTATTGGTAATTCACAAGACACACCTAACATCAGTCAAGGAAAGTATAACAAATCAGAATCAGATATCTATTCTCTTGTGAGTGATAAACAAACCTTGTATAAATCAGGAGATAATAGTGTTGTCACTAGTGATATATTACAGATTGACAATATCTGTTCTCTTGTTGAAGGTGATGTCTCTTACAACTCCCAAATAGCAAAGATATTCAACTCTCTACCTGTGAAAAAGGTTGAGCCACAAAAACCTCTATCCAATCAGGAAGGGATTAGTAATGGAGAACAAATAGAGCAAATAAATAACATCACTGAAAATAAAGACTTTGATTTTCAAAAAGATAAGCCAGCACTGTACACAGATGTTTCTGCTAAAATGACTGATCTGTCAAAGTCAGAGCAGCTTCTGGAGTCGTCATCTTTTAATAATCCTGAAGCAAATAGAGGCGCTCTAGAGGAAAGCAATGTGGCTCATACCGTGGAGAAAGAAAGCACAGTTGATAATATGTGTTCTTCAGCTGCTGGTCAGCAGGATATTTACCCTCAGGAAATTGATGTCTCCAGCACTTATACTGCCCAAGAGCCTGCAAGAAATGAGATTGACGACAATAAGACATCTGCCTTATACCTACATGATCAGCTGTCAGAACTGTTAAGAGAGTTTCCTTATGGCATTGAAGCTATAAACAGACATGAAGGTTCTGTGGGCCAACAGATGACCAACCAGATCTCAGAAGATCAGACTGGTGATAATGCCAGTTGTGACTCCAAAGACTCAACAGATCAAATACAAATTACAATTTTAAGCTCAGAGCAAATGAAAGAATTATTTCCTGAACAGGATGATCAACCTTGTGTTGGAGACAAATTGGCAGAACCTCAAAAAGAAAAGCCTACTGCAGAAGTAGGTGACCAGAGTGACCCCCAAACACCTGCAAAAGGAGAAAATCGTGATTCTCCAATAGTGGACTCAGAGAAAGATGATGTCCGTTGCTGTGCACTGGGTTGGCTGTCTATGATGTATGAAGGGGTACCCCAGTGTCAGTGTAATTCTACTTCAAAAGAAGAGAAAGGGAAAGTACAGTGTTTGCCTTTGAAGACCAACAGTAATAATCAAGGGGAGAGAACCTCTGTTAGAGATGTGCCTATTGCTGAATTTAATAGTCTTTCAAATAATCCAAAGACTCCACTGACTCTTACGGATGAGAAAAATCATTTTCCTGAAATACAAAACAGCAATATAAAAGATACATCTGAAACAAAACATAATAGCCTCGTAAGGAAGGAACAAGAATTAACTGGTCCATTTTCCTCTAAATGTGATAAACTAGTTTCCTTGCAAAATCATGAAAATAAATCCCTGAGATTTCATGAGGTAACCTTTCACTCTAGTAATAAAACAGCATTTTACAAACAAACTTCTCAAGAAAGCCTGCAGAAGAAACATGTAACACAAAACTTACGCCCACTAAAAGCGAAGACAGTTTTATCAATAAATAAAGATCTGTATAAGAAGAATGGTTCTTCAGTACAGTTAGTATCACCAGAAAAGAAAAACTCAAAATTTAAAGCAGGTGGCTTCAAACAAAAGTTTCTGGAAAAAAGGAAGTTAGACCAAGGGAGCATACGTGACACGGAGGTAAAGAAGAAGAAACATGATAAACAGGAGCAGAATAAAACTGTTGGAGCCACATTTAAATTATGTGATTTTTTGTCAAACCCAAATGAAAGAGCCAGTGTTAAAGAAAAGACCGAGTCAAATACTAAGTCCTCAGACCCGAAGGCTAGTTCATCTAAACGTGGTAGAGTTCTAACTGTGGAGGAGTATTTACAAAGGCAGAAGCATAAAGAAGCAATGAGTAATAAAGCATCAGAGAGAATCCATCTGAAAAATGTACCATGCAATTCTGAACACTCGAGATCTGGGAAGCTTTCTGTACAAGTTGGGAGTTGTGAGAAATCAAATGAGAGACACAATATCAGTGTACACACCTCTAAAGAATCATTAAATATTTCTACAAGCCATGGTAAAAACCTCAAAGTCCACCATTCCACAGAGTCTAAAACATGCAACATTTCAAGGAATGTTAGAGGAGCAGTTGATGGAAAGCAGCCTGACAAAATGTGGATTGATAAGGCCAAATTAGGCAAAAAATTAACCAATGTAAATAGTGAAGTTCAGTTTGGCCAAATGCCTCTGCAAGCAAAGGAACAAAAGAAATCATACCTGAACAGAGTTGCATTTAAATGCACTGAACGTGAAAGCATTTGTCTCACCAAATTAGATAATTCACCTAAGAAGCCTAACAAAAATAAAGAGAAGACAGAGGAAAATAAACCTAAGACCCTTTTACCTGTGAAAGATGCTACGGAAAAACCAGGCATGCTCCAGTTTAAATTGTGCCCAGATGTACTGTTGAAGCATACAAACTCTGTTGAAGATAAAAAGGATCTTAAGCCTCGTCCTAGGAAGGAGCAAGCACCTGTGCAAGGTCCAGTATGATTTTCTTGGTGTCTACAATATTGTAAAAGAGTTGTAGATCGATATTTGGGCTGGTGCCTCTCATGCTGTCTGTGTAGCTGGGAAAGGTTTTAATTTGTTACGCCATTGCTTGGTATTTGTTCTTCTCAGTGTTTCTTGGGCAATATTTAGTTTTATATTTATTGCCATCTTATTATAAATTATAAATTAGTGATGACAAGAGCTATATAAAACTGCAAGGTTTTGCCAACTACAAATAGTTCATACCAAGAAGGATATAATGTGAAAAACATTCCACGTTCCTTGTGACAAGTTTGAAAAGTGTCCATTATACATTATTCTAAGAGTCTTTGTTTCGTTCATTCTCCTTTTTAACTTGTAATTTTTAAAGCCCTGTGAATTTGGAAATTTTGTTCTAAGTATTAGGGTATATGTATTGATTCATAGTGAAATCTTTTTGTTCGCATGGGAAATGGGTCAATTTATTATCATCTTTGAAATAGTTGGTGACTGTGTTATCACTAGTTAATATGGAAACATCTAGTCTACTCATGAAATGGGAGGGCCATGAAAGCAGTATTGTCCATTGTTAAATTATGTCTTGAAAGCCAGGGTGGCATGTCCTAGTGGTAGACCTTTTAATGTAGTACAGAAATGTGCTGAGAAAATTAGATGGAAATGGAAATCATAATCTTTGCTTTTCCAACTATATTTGTTGGGATGCATAAAGCTATAGCATAAACAGGGTACATTTTCTTAGAAGGTAATAGAGCTATATGATTAAAAGTGCAAAATTCATTTTGTAAAAAACTGGTGATTTCAATAGGTCCTTTCATTTGGATCCTTAGAATATGAGGTATGGGTATAATTGGAGTATTTGGAAGTGAATGGGGGAATGTAAGTGACTTTATATCCGTGTGCCCTTAAATGTCTTCAGATGTGTTGGTGTTCAGCTCAGGGGGAGCATAATTACATAGTGAACATGAACTTAAAGACTAATCATTTTTTGTAGGCCTATATGTGGCACCTTCCAAAACCTATTTGAGTGTTATATTACTTTTCCTTTATTATAGTACTGAGAGAGATAAATAGCAATATCTAGGCATCTGAAAATGAATATTTAAATAGTTTCAGGAATAAAAAGTACAAAAGAAGACTGGTTAAGATGCAAAAGTGTGAAGAAAAGGATGCTGGAGGACACTGAGAAAATAGGTAAAGTCATCAACTATTTAAGTTTTTATTTTCTATCTGGCATATGTCAGTTGGATTATGATTACAATACTGTTACGAAGTATGATTTTATCCATGTTCTTTTTTTCATTCATTCACTGTTTATGAGCGGTAGGAGGACATTCTGTTTTCTCTGTCATGTTGTGGATTGCAAAGCTGAGATTAATTTCCTTTTATCAAGAAAATAATCCTCAGCACAATTGAGTTAGATAAAGAAAGGGTTTGCATATTTTTCCTATACGGGACCAGACAGCAGATATTTTAGGTTTCCCTGGTCCTAAGGCTCATTATAACCTCCAATCATATAAGGTTGACTGTATTTGGATAATGAGAGGCTGATCCTAGCTGAATTTTTTTTGCTGGGAAGGGCTTTGGACTGAAGGCCAGCTAGAAAAACTAGGGCTTTCAGTATTCAATTTAATCAGTGGAATGAAAGTACTTTATTTTTTAGAAAGGGGGAGATTTGGCAAACGGTGTGAAGAAAGCATAAAACAATACATAAGCAGGGATGTAGAAATTAGTCAAGAATAAGTTACAGAACTCTCTGTCAAAGTATGATGAGACTCAAATAGGTGAAAAGAAAAATCAAGTGGGTGCTACATGGATATTCAAAGGCCTGTTGGGGCAAATAGAACTAGCTGTGGAAAACAGAGCTCTGGGAGAGAGTGAAACATACACCTAAGGTGAAGAGACTGGAGAAAAATGAACCAGGTAGAAAGTGAGATGAAAACAAATGTCATGAGCTCCCAAATAGCTATAAAGAAACACTTAAGATAACTATATCTAAATTTGGTAGCAAAGGTTGGAGTATACACGGAGTCAGTGAAATCATCAGGGGTAAAGAAATGAGAAAGTAACATGAATCCCTTGGAAAGCAACTTAGAGACCCACCTTGGGCATCAGCATTACTAGAAGAATTTGGAACAGACATAAAGAATTAAGACAGAATACTTGACCCACTCAGGCAGGAAAATGAAAAACAAGACTGTATTATGTCTCAAGTTAGTGGCAAGTTGAAAAAAAAGAAAAAGTTAAGAAAAAAAAAGAAACAAACGAAAGACTGTATTATCCAGAAAGAGATGGCTGCATTAGGAACAGAAAGGTACAGATGGTCCTTGACTTTACAGAAGTGTGAAAGTGAGAGCACATTCTGTAGAAACCATAGTTTGAGTAACCTATACAACTGTTCTGTTTCACTTTCAGTACAGTGTTCAGTAAGTTACATGAGATATTCAACACTTTATTATGAAATAGACTTTTTAAATGTTTTTGCCCAAGTATATGCTAGTATAAGTTCTGAGCATGTTTAAGGTAGGCTGGCTAAGTTATGTTCAGTAGGTTAGGTGTCCTCAATGCATTTTCAACTTGGATATCTTCAGTTTATGATGGATTTATCAGGACATAACTCTGTTGCAGGTGGAGGAGCATCCGTGTTGGTATTCTGAATAGGGAAAGAGCACTGAGGTTGAGGCACATCTAGAAACTGCACAGAAGTGGGAACAGCTAGGTCTATCCAAAAGAGATACTGAAGCTAATCCAACACTGACATTTTTTGAAGAAACAGAAAAGTATAATCATATTTTAAAAATAATTCATGCATGACAAAGCCAAAATATTAAAACTATCCTTGTCATTCACTTTTTGGGACTGGCTGGTACTTATAGTCTTTGTATTGCCAATTTAGATAACTGTTAGAAAAGTCATATTCATAATACACAGATGATAGATTTTATTGAGCAAGGGCAAAGGTAGAGCAGAGCACCCCTGGGCAGTGATAACGTGGGTGAGAGTAGAAACTAGTCTCCAAAGGAAAGTCAAGGTGCTATGTGTATATAACTTCTTTCTATGGATAAAGAGCTATCATTTGTCAGACTTTTGCTTAACTACTTGTCCAATTTTTTTTTTTTTTTTTCAGAGACAGGGTCTCACTCTGTTGGCCAGGCTAGAGTGCAGAGGCATCATTGTAGATCACTACAAGCTCAAACTCCTGAGCTCAGGGAATCCCCGTCTCAGCTTCCCAAGTAGCTTGGACTACAGGTGCACACCACCACACCTGGCTAATTTTTCTGTTTTTTTGTAGAGATGGGGTCTAGCTCTTGCTCAGGCTGGTCTCCAACTCCTGACCTTAAGTGATCCTCCCATTTTGGCCTCCCAAAGTTTTAGGATTATAGGCATGAGCCACTGTGCCTGGCCATTGCCCTAAATTTTATCTGACAGATGAATGCACATTTTCCTTCTGAATTTTCATTGATGATATATTGGTCACACTCAACATTGAGAGTAATAAAGAAAATGTTTGTTTCCCTTAGATAACAATGTAAATTCAAGACACTGCAAGAGAAGCTTCAGTGTAGATGGATTGGAGATGCTACAAAATCCAGTAAAAGATTCAAAAGCAATGTTTCAAACCTACAAACAGATGTACCTGGAGAAGAGAAGCAGAAGCCTTGGTAGCAGTCCGATAAAGTAATTACGAGACGTTCTGTAGTTGCCACGTTTGTGTCATTTTCTGTTCGGAATACTTTGCTGGAAATATCTCAGAGCTGCCACAGTAAAAATTTCTCTGTCAAAGTTTGGTCCCACTTCAGTTATGTATTCCATTGAAATTGCTTAATTAAAATGGCTTGAGAACTTTGTGGGTAAGCAGACTTAAGAAATAGATAGTATTTGGCAGAGAAGCCATAAGGTATTTGAACTTCTACATTATTGAACCAAGTTTACCATTATTTTGAGAGGAATACTTTCTACAGACCTACTTTTGAAATGCTGACTATCCACCTTGAGGGAAGATTGTTCCTCAGGTAGCAACTTGTTTATTTAACTGGGACTGTACATATATTTTTGTTTTTAAGCTACATTAACAAAACTTATTTTTCAAAAATGCCCACTGTGAATGTCAGATTATATTCTTAAGTATTTTGTACCTAACTGTAAACTTTTTTTCAGAAGTCTTGTTTTATACTTGTTAAACTGAATACAATTTTTAGATAATGTTTTAACATTACTTTTCATACTTGAAATAAACATTTATTTTTTAAAAAACTAATTTGAAATCTTCATGGCTTGATTTCTTTTTGGTTTCCTATCCTTGCAATAGGACATGTTTTGGAAAGGTGTTTTTGTAAGTTGAAATGTCAGTTTGTTGGATGTCACAGTAGATATTTTTAGACTGCATTCAAATGAGACGGCAGACTTTTTCCTAGGTTTAGGAAATTGCAATAAAGCAGGGAAGGCAAGATAAAAAGTGCATTCATTACATTCAAAGTGCAAGGTAGATGAATGAATTTTAATAGAACAATGCAGTTCCTTTTGGTTTCAGCTTTTCATATTGTAACAAACAGTTATGTGTTGCTTAATCACAGGAAGTGAAATGTGTTCCGAAATGATTTCATCTTTGTGAGAACATCAAAGAGTATTCTTAAACCAACCTACACGGTACAGGTTGAGTATCCCATATCTGAAAATACAAAACATTCTACAATCTGAAACTCTTTGAGCACTGACGTGACACTCTTGCTCAAGACTAACTGCTTGTGTTACCAAGAGAAAATTTTTATTTGAGGTTCTCTTCAAGAGAATATTTTACTTTGTACTTTGGGCCTTTGGATTAGGGGTGCTCAGTTGGTAAATACAATGCAGATAATCCCAAATCTGAAACACTTCTGGTCCCAAGCATTTCTGATGAGGGATACTCAACCTGATAAGCCTGCTATGCACCTAAGCTATCAACGTTGTGTGGCCTGATGCTTCTAGGCCACAACCCCATACAGCATGTTTCTCTGCTGAATACTCAATGGTATTTGTGTACCTAAACATAGAAGAGGCGTGTATAGGGCACTTACCATGAGTGGTGTTTGGAGGACTAGGAGTTGTGGGTGAGTGAATGTGAAGGCCCAGGACATTACCTTACTATAGACTTTATAAACACTACCCTTAGACTACACTCAATTTATGGAACTTAAATAATAAATTTAGCTCAGTAACTTTTACTTTCTAAGCTTTTAACTTTTTTTTGGAGACAAGGTCTCACTTTGTTGCACAGCCATGAGGGCAGTGGCATGATCATAGCTCACAGCAACCTCCAACTCTTGGGCCCAAGCAATCCTGCCTCAGCCTCCCGAGTAGCTGGGACTACAGGCACGTGCCACCATGCCCAGCTAACTTTTTCGATTTTGAGTAGAGACAGGGTTTCACTGTGTTACGTAGGCTAGTGTTGAACTCCTGACCTCAAGCGGTCTGACTGCCTCAGCCTTCCAGAGTGCTAGGATTACAGGTGTGAGCCACCACGGTAAGTATAGTTAACAATACTGTATATTTGAAATTTGCTAAGATAGTGGTCTTATGTGTTCTTACTACGCACACACAAAAGGTACCTCTGTGAGGTGATACATGAATTAGTTTGATTGTGGTAATCATTTCACAACTATACCAAATCATGATGATGTATAGTTTGACAATTATACGTTAATAAAGTTGGGGGGAAATTTTCCTGAAGGTAAATACATTTAAAATGGAAATAAGTAGGAGTGTATGTTAGAACAAAATGCAAATCTACACAAAAATTTAAGATAAAACTGGAACAAATAAAAAAGATGTTTTGCTTGGGCTGCATCCCATTAGGAACACCCCATCTGTTAAGAGGTGAGCACGTTCCTTGTCCCAGAAGTCAGGTTCAAAGGAGAAGCTACTTCTCTGGGAAAGCTGGAAGAGGGAGGACCAAAGACGGAACAAATGACTCGGGCCACAGAAAACCAGGAGTTTTGGCTGTTGTAGTCCCACAATATCAGTCTTAGCATGTTCCTTGTTCCACAAAATCAGCAATGGCAACGAAAATGAAAACATTCAACTGCACGTTTGCACCATTTGGATGATTTCCCACTTCTAGAAAATGAAAAACATTTGGCTGCTTACAGTCCCCATCTACATCTCTGTTCCCTTCTTTCAATTTTCTGCTTAGTTAGGGGAATGCTGTGGCTTCAGAGTGGTATTCACTTCATGGTTTGGTTTTGTTTACTTCTGGGGCCAAGGACAGTTTTATCTATGTTTAAAGAGGCAGAAGATAGAAAAAAGAATCTAAATGCCTTCTTGTCCTTGAGCCTGGCATGAAGCCTGGGCAGTGGGGCTGAGTTCTGGGATAAGGAGCCGCAGGAGGGTAGGGTGAGTATTAAGTTTATTCAGATCAATAGCCACTAAAGCAAATGTTATTTTAAGAATTCAGGTGGGTGATTACCTGCTCAATTTGGAATGTTTTCGAGAGGTGTTAAAGAAGAGCCATGCGTGAAATTCAAGAGAATTGAAAGATACTGTAGGGCCAAGGGAAGCTCTCCCTCTGCCCTCTGAAAGTTCACTGAAAAGTCAACTCACAGAAGGCAGATTGAGAAGAAGCATAGAAATTTATTTGACACGGACATGGAGAAAATAACTGAGTGGTTACCCACATCCCAACAGGGTTCAGAAGCTTGTATACCATCCTGGCAAAACAGGTTACAGGAGCACAGAGAAGAGAAATTCTATTGAGGGGATTGCTAGAGAGAAAGAATGGATCCAGAAACAGAGATTGGCTTATAAATATTTCCCTCCCACAGTGAAAGAGTCATTCCAGGTATGGCTGTAACAGAGGGAACACCCTAAAAATGGGTAAAATGTTTTATGAGCTGTCTCTTTAACCCCACCCCTCCTAACTCTTTTGGGAATTAAAACCTGTATCCCTGCCCAAGGCCAGTAATCAGAAGGGCAGAGGTCATGAGAGTGTCTTCACTGGAGATGGGGTCAATGAGGACCATCAACTATAGTTAGAACACCAACACCCTGAAGCTGAAACCACCACCACCACCCCCTTAAAACCTCTAATTCTGCTTTAGGGAGGACTGTGGTACTTTTAAGATGAGAGTCTGCCATACTCCTCATTTGCCAGCAAATTAATAAACTCTGTCCTTGTCTTCACATCATTTGCCCTCGTTCTTCATTCAGCCTCGGGGACAAGTGCCAAACTTTCAGTAACATAGTTACATTCTTGGTCTTGCCAGAAGGGGGAGAAAAGACAATTGTTCTCCTTGGTGGGTCTGGATCTTAGGCAGATAAAGGCCTGTGCTTTTTCTGGGTGGTGGTGTCAGAGAGACCTTGTGGCTTCTTCAGTTCGATGCACTATATTTTGACGTCTTGGTTTTCTAGCCCCAACAATATTTTCTCGTGTGATTTCTTTTTTTTCTTTTTTGAGACAGAGTCTCGCTTTGTTGCCCAGGCTAGAGTGAGTGCCGTGGCGTCAGCCTAGCTCACAGCAACCTCAAACTCCTGGGCTCAAGCAATCTCCTGCCTCAGCCTCCGAGTAGCTGGACTACAGGCATGCACCACCATGCCCGGCTAATTTTTTCTATAAATATTAGTTGGCCAATTAATTTCTTTCTATTTATAGTAGAGACGGGGTCTCGCTCTTGCTCAGGCTGGTTTTGAACTCCTAACCTCAGGCAATCCAGCCACCTCCGCCTCCCAGAGTGCTAGGGTTATAGGCGTGAGCCACCTCGCCCGGCCTCTCATATGATTTCTAGCCTTTTCCTTATACTTATGCCCACGTATTGTGAAGCTCTGCACTGTTTAATACAATTCTCCCAGCAAGCCTGTATTATAATCCTCTCTTGGCTGAAGACACTAAGACCAAGAAGGGTTGTACAATTTGTCCAAGGACACACAGTGGCGAGTGGCAGTCAGATTACGAACACAGGCGATAAGACTGATGCTGCCCCACACTGTTCCTTTGTGTGTGTTTGAGTTATGAGTAAAGACAGATGTCTCCTAAACTTACTAACTTTTTACTCTTCAGCCTACCGTGTTTCCCCGAAAATAAGACAGGGTCTTATATTTATTTTTCCTCAAGAAGACACCCTAGGGCTTGATTTTAGGGGATGTGTACAGTACAACAATCTACATTTATTCAAATATAGTTAAGTCGTCTTCTTCTGGAACATCATCATAACTCTCCAAACCCCGAATTCCAGCCTGAATTTCTTGTGACTATTTCCTTTAGAACCATTGGCCCCAGTCTCTCATGCCGAGCAATAGTGCTCTCATGGGGCAGATGAGAAGGGCTGATCCTCTTCTTTACCGCTGTATGACGCAATGCATGGGTTGTGCAGATGCGCTGCGTAGCCACACCCATCACTAGGTCTTATTTTCCGGGTAGGCCTTACATTGCGCAAATGCTTAGAAATCCTGCTAGGGCTTATTTTATGGGTATGTCTTATTTTCGGGGGAAATAAGACGGTATTACACCCAGATGAAGGAAACTGAAGACAGGTAAGAAGGTTCTAATTCCCTATGTTTCCATCCTGAAAAATCTCCTGTTTGGGGGCTTAAAACAGTGCCCCCAAAAGAAGGGCTCAGAAGCAAAGGTTTTTTATGACCTTCTCTTGCCCTCCTGTCTCTCAGTCCCATTCTCCCCCAGGCTAATTATATAAACTAGAATCCCTCTTCCCCAGGGCAGGTCATAGAAACCAGAACTCTTTTTCCCCAATGCCAGCATTAAGACTGAAAAACATTACTCTAACTTTCCTTTCTTTGTTTTTGAGACAGAGTCTTGCTTTTTTGCCCAGGCTAGAGTAAGTGCCATGGCGTCAGCCTAGCTCACAGCAACCTCAAACTCCTGGACTTAAGCATCGCTGCCTCAGGCCTCCCGAAGTAGCTGGGGACTACAGTTGCATGCCTCGCCACCATGCCCCGGGTAATTGTTTCCTTAATATGATTTTACCCTTGGCGCCCAGATTGAATTTCGTTTCTATTTTTAGTAGAGACGGTCTCCCTCGTTGCTAGGGCTGGTTGTCGGAACTCTAAACCTCGGCCAATCGCCAGCCTCAGCCTCCCAGGCAGTGCTGACGGGATTATAGGCGTGAGGCACTGCCGTCCCGGTTTCTGTGTTTCTTTGTTTTTTCTTGTTGTTGCCATGTTGAAACTAGTCACAAAGAAATTATCTGGCCTACCTTGTTTGACTGTAGGCCATAAGAACCGGCCCCCCATTCAGAGATGGTCCCTGGCCCCACGACAGGCAAGGAAGGA